GCGTTTCGCATTGCATCCGGACGCTGCCAGCATAATAAGATATAGGTCAAGTGCGGCTGGTACCATGTATGGCCATACCTGTGCCGAGGAAGGACAAAGATATACGCAGGTTATCGTTGTCGAGTCGAAAGGGTTCACTCTACATCTTCGCCATCTTGCCTCTTCGCCTATTTCGTACGCCACCTGTCGCACGAAATACTTGACCACGTCCAGAATTAATTCCTACGCTTAAGAACGAAAGTTTAAATTTTATCATCATCGGTGTTTCGATTTTCTTATTTACGATATTTTTATTTATTTATTTTCATCAAGAGGAACGTTTATTTTCTTATTTGTTATTCATATTATATAAGGTTTTTTAAAAAGAAGAAATAAAAGTGTAAATCGATTGTAATTAATCGATTAACAGAATTTGTCATTTATACGTATCTTTGATTAATCTTTGGCGATTGACATTGATGAATCACGTTAGAATCTAATTAATAGTTCTTTGAACCAATTATATATATTATTGTAAGTATAATTATTGTAAGTATACAAGTTTTTCTTATATTTTATTATGGTTTAACATTCTTTTCAATTATTTCAATTATAAATTACATAAATTAGGAATGATATGAAAATAATTATATTATTTTTATATTTCTAAATTAAAACGCAATCTAATCTTTTCGAAAAATTCAATTAAGATTTACGTAAAAGTATTTAGAGCTGTATCATATAACCCTCTTAGGTATGGCTTCTTTATTACGTAAGTTGTCGGTCCAAACCTTTCAGAACCGTAGATTATTTATGCAACGTTCTTTGAAATCGTTATTCACCAATTTATATTTGATGATAATTACGTTCTTTTACGTAATTATAAGAAAAATATGTATGTAAAATTATATTATCCAATTATGTTTCACGTTTTATTATTGTAATATAATGTATTTTCTTAAATATTCTTACTCTCCGCTACTTGATTATATTTTCATCTAACACTTAATAATCTAATCAATTGTTCTCAATTATACAAATATTCTTCCAGGTGTTACTTTCAAATTTATACGTTCTTTCTTGCTACTATAAAAATTACGACACATATTTACAATTATTATTCTTAAATAAATAAAATTAATAAATATCCAGTTAAAAAAGAAAATGGAATTTCACTATAAAATTTTAACATTTTAAATAATTTAAATATTCTTCCAAATTTATATGCTGTCTTTCTTACTACTATAAAAATTTATATTATTACTTAATTAAGTAGAAATTAGTGGGTATCCAGTTTAAAAAAAAAAAAAATAGAATTTTACAATCAAACTCATTCAAATTCGCAATATGAACAGCTGCAATTAACATCCAATGCGCGATTCAAATATTCAACCCTGAGGGGATATTTCAAAAGACAATCCTTTAAAAGCACTAGTAACATAACTGGAGAATGTAGAAGCCTGCCGGGAACGTTTTTAACGAGATAAACATACAATGAAAATAGTACAACATAGATTTACCATGATTTTCTTTTTATATTATGGATTCAGTTCTTTTCACAATTTTTATTATTATTATTATTATTATATCGTTCAAATATATATAATGTGCACATAAATAATGTAACATAAACAATATAAATTGTGTGAATGAAATAAATATTTATATGTATTTTATAAATCTAAAGATTAACAATAAACATAGTGTTAAGTAGATTCACGTCAAGTGTTCGAAATGGAAAATGAATAATTAATTTTTTAATGCTGCGACGAGAGAATGCTATTTCGATCAATCGTCAACTGGAAATAGACAGTCAATAGCATTCTATTTCTTTCGAAGCGAACGAAACGAATAACAACAGTGGTGTAAATAAATAAAATATTTATCGCTCGTAGAATCTAATTTACAATAATATCATTATTTTTATTCGTTTAAAAATAAATTATCGATAATAAATTATTATATACGAATTCGAGTTAAATGATATAACTATCGAATAAAATTAAAAAAAAAAAAAATCATCTCTTACGTAATTATTATGAAATACATCGATAAAGAAATAATAATTGTTTCAAAATATTATTTTGAAAATATTATTAAAATTTTTCAATTTTAAGTAAGTTAACAAAATTTCACTTACAATTGTCACAATACATGGTTAATTATTTAATCGATTCGAAGAGAAACCAGGACGCGAACACTTGTAATTGCCGATCTACCGAGGTCTCTAGGAAGGATCTTAAGACGATCTCTTTTCTCTCTTACGTATGTCCTTCTTCGTCTCGCTACTTTTATAACCGAGATAACAAGCGATCCAAAATTCTCGATTTAAATTCTTGAAAGGAAACACGACAGTGGCCTCGTATTTCGTTAAAAACGTGTCATTCATCGTTTTATAAGAATGATCAATGATTGTATATTTTCAAACGACGTAGTAAGTGCACGAGTAAAAAAAAAGTAAAAAAAAAAAAAAAAAAAAAAAATCGTGACGAGCTTTCATTAGGATTTCATAAATTCTTCGAAAGTAATTTGATTATAATTAAGTGAGAACGCAAAAATAATTGAGGATTAAGAAAATACGAGATTAGATAGAATTAAAATATTTTGTAATATTGCATATAGGATTTTTCATCTTCTTAGAAGCACTTCATTTTTTAGTTGAGTTACTTTAATAATTTCATTGCGTGTTATCTTTATTTACAATCTATGAGAGATAATACATTTTGAAGATCAAAAGAGAAATAAATGTAATAGGATATCATCGTTGTTAGCCTTCAAACTATTCGATGTAAAATGAATGTTCATGAAAAGTTCAGTATACGTCTTGTTCACGTAATCGTCATCTCCTTTTATTGATGCGTTTGATGTAATTTATTGCCATACTTGAGAAATCGATTAACATTATCCATCTAATACGATTTTCCATTCGAATGTCTTATTATTGTAGGAAAGTTAATAAACATTTAAGATTACGAATTATCGTATATAATTTTGCTTATAAATATATTTAATAAGATATTGAAAATAGTTGAATTCTAAATATTAATTTAGTGAAGGAATGTTTCATTTAACTTCAGATCCAAATTAAAATTAAATCTTCTAATCGATTTATAGACTTATTTTGACATATTTTTGATCGATAAAAATCAATTACCTACGAATCTACTTATTTATATATTTATTGTAAAAAGATAATTATTAAACTTCTCAAACAATGTGCACTCCATTGCCATGCATAAAATTATAATGTTAGTCAACTATACTGATTAAAATATTAAATTAAAAAACGTTTAAAAATATTATAATTATGCTTCCAAGCGTTATTTTATCAAAATTTGACATTTTATTTCTGCTCCAAGAAACATCGATCGAGATAGAAGAATCTGGAAAATCGCAGTTATCCAATATACCCTACAATGTTGTCCAACGTTTGCGACGATTTCCCGACACAGAGGGCGGCGATTCCTTGAGGCGATTCTTAGTTGTTCATCGTCTTGTTCTGTTCACTGGAGACGGGAGCAGAACTCGAACTGGGTCAGGGCAGCGCGCCAAATGGTTGGATCAATTTTATTTTAAATTTATCAAGTCCGCTTCGACTCCATGGACACGCGTGATCAGTTCAGATTTCCAGACTGTGCATACCGATTAAAATGGTACTTTCCTTGTGTAACGCGAAAAATAAGCAACTATCAAATTATTCCTCGATTCTCGATTCTTTTTTTCAGAAGAAAGATCTAAGATTTTAAGAATATTTTTTTCAATATATCGTTGTATAATTTTATCTGAAAATTTGATTCATTATTTTTAATAATTAATTTTATATTTATATTTATATAAAAACGAAATTATGAGAAACGATTATAATTATGTTATACAGTTAATACGGATTAATCTTGCATCGTATTATTTGTTTCAATGATCTATCATATATATGCTTCAATAATCGTAAAAAAAAAAAAATGAAGAATTTTAAAAAATGTAATGCACATGTACAATGCATAGCTTGAAATTTCAATTTGAATCAAAGAAATCATTTTGATGTTACGTTTACAAGAGGAAGTCGCATAGAGATACGCAAGTATTGCATATCGCACCTACATGATTATAGGTTTTCTGCCGTTCTTCTTCGATCGAAAAAGCATTGAAATTTCCTCTTTGATAAATCTTCGATGCGATTGTTATTCTTCGATCCAATTAAATCATTTATTTTTTTTCTTTTTTTTATTGTCCAATTGTGATTATTGATAAGCAATGGATCATTTTTGACAAAAGATCGAACATGTTTTATTGTAATTGTCTATTATAAATAATATATATATATCTAATAGAGAAAATATACATGGGATAAGTAACAACGGAGAACCACTGAAACTATGTGAGTCAGGCAGAATAAGGTCCAATATAAGGCCCTGAGGTGATTCGCCTAGACGGCCATGACCATATTACAGGCCAAAGGCCCCTGATACCATCTATACTTCCAGTAATAATTGATGAAATCATTACTGGCAATTTCTTGTACTTATAGTGATAAAATTAAAATTAGTAACAAAAACTTCATTGTATTTAAATATTATCTAATTCTAATTATTTTATTATTTATAATATAAAAGTAATATAATAAAATAAATGTAAAATATAAATTTCATTATAAAAAATAAATTTCGAAAAAAGTTATTAATAAAAATAATCAATATTTAAGAGATCAAATTATATAAAATTTTATATTATAAGAATATTATAATATTATAATATATTAATAAAAACATTTTAATATATTGTTACAAGACATATCATTTTTAATATGATAAAGCTTAATTTAATAACATGCGCATATTATTATTATTATTATTATTTTATGATTTAAACAATTCATTATACAATTTATAAAAATAAAAATAATGAATGTTTCATATATAAAGACTATAAAAATTTGATATATATATATATATATATATATATATATATATATATATCATACATATATTAATTACTTACATTTGTATTTAAAAAATCTATAATTCTTATATGGTATACATTTATTTACATGTATAGAAAGAAAATTTGTACAATTATAAAATTTACCATCAACGATATTGTGGACAATGTTGTTTTATTATTGACCTTGAAATATCTACATGACCTATTATAGAAAAATAAAATTATTAATAAATTTTTTCTTAATATTATTTATAATTAAAAATATTATTATTACCTAATTGTAATTCTATATATAAGGCTAACATTATTACATGTATAGGAATATCACAATCAGGACCTTTTGACATCCAAACCTAAAATATTTATTAAAATCATCAATTAATGATAAATATATATATTATCAAAATAATTTATATGTAGATCTACATAGAAAATATATACATATAAAAGCCATAAATTCTAATTACCTGTTTTAAAGTTTCTCCAGACTTATCAAGTTCACCACGAATAGCATAGGCTACAGCTAAATTGTAACGAAGTACAGCAATACCCGTAGGGACCGTTGTCGGATACCACACTATAAATAAATTATTATTAATAATTTTATATAATAATTATTTATAAAATTATATAAAATAAAATAATTTTAATAATATGTTTACTTTTTATAGGTTTTGAAATAACCTCATCAGATTTTTCTTTGTCTTTATCTTGAATTTCAGGAATAAGTACAGAAGTATTTAAGTCTTGAATATTTTCTGGTTTAAGATATTCAATGGCTTCACTAATTTTATCCATTAATATCAAACTTTCTGCTGCATAAAGATTTCCCAACATTCTATATGCTCCAGGTAATTTATTAATATGTAATAATGCTTTAGCATGTTCAAGTGCAATAACATAATCACCAAGACATAAACATACATAAGCACTTGCAGCCAAAACACTAATTTTTAAATTTAATGCTTCAATAGCTATAGTTTGAGACATTAAAGTAGTATGTTGAGTGCCTAAAATATTTTTAATACAAATATTATATTATATATCTGTAAATTTGATTATTTTATATATATATAATATTGTTTAAATACCTAAATTATGACCAGCTGTTAATGATAAAGATACTGTTTGTGGATTGTGAGCAATTGTTGTAATTGGTACATTAAGTTCATTATTACTTGGTAATAAAAATAATGCATTCTTTAAACATAGAGATGCAAATTCCAATGTTAATTGTGGTATAGCAGAAGGAAAACCTTCAGGATGATATTTTATATCTTTGGAAAGAGAAGAAGCTAAAATAATTTTTCTATTAATTCCTGAACCAACAACTTTTTGTACTAAATCCTTTCTTCGTTTTGGAATATTAAAATCAATTTCATTTGTCTGAAAAATAGTGAAATAATATATTAGAATAATAAATAAAATTCTAAAAAAAAAATTATTTAATTTTTTCTTGAATTTTTTATTACAATTTAATTAATATAAGCATGTAATAATATATTTATTATTAATTTACCGGTTTATGACAATAAATACAACATTCGGCAATTCTTAACCATAATTTAGGATTATTATGAAGCTTTTGTGAAGCATCCATAAAACAATCAAAAGCTACTGATGCTTGTCCTGCATGCAATAAAGATACACCTAAACTGTACATTAATTCATAATGTTTATTCCCACCAAGAGTACATAATGGTTGCAAAGATAAAGGATCTATATAAAAACAATTTTTCTTTTTCAATTATTATTTGCAATATTCTTATATAAAAAATTATAAAATAGAAATTAGTTATAATTACCACTATCTTTCATTTGTACACTTTCTAGAGCACATTTATTTTCATGTAAAGCTTTTCTTAAATAAAAACATGCTAAATTTGGTTTACCCATAGCAAGATGTAAACATGCCATATTATTGTAATATAACACAGCGGAAGATTCTCCAGTAGTTCTAAAAAAATTTAAATATAATAAATAAATTATTATTATAAAATACAATTTTTCAATGATTATAAATCTAACATACTTAAAATCTAAATTTTCTGATGTTATAGAATTTAATAATTTAATAGCTTTCTTGTAATTCCCTCTTAAATATTCAAGATTAGCTTTTAAAAATACAGTTGATATATTCTGAAATTAAACAAAATTAAATACAAAATATGACTTATAATATAAAAATATAAGATCTAAAAATATAAAATCTAAAAATATCTTACTACAGGTGTACCCAAAGAAACTAATGTCTTCCACTCCCTTTTACATAATTTCAACTGATGCATCATAAGGTATATTCTAGCTTTGCATTTTAATAATTTTAATTTGAATGCATCTGTAGCTGTATCAACTTCTTTTTTTGGCTCCTTCTGTTCCTTTATAGATTTAATTATACCTTCTTTGTCAACAGATGAGATTTTAGAATTATCTGTAGATATAAGTTGACTTTCTATATAATTAATTAAAGATAATGCTGCATCTGGTTGTTCTGTTATTATATGTAATTCTATCAAAAGAAGGCATACTTTGTGTGCTAATGATTCTTCTGAAAAAAAAAAATAATAATAAATAGATTAAATTTAATATTAATTTATGCTTTAATAAAAATTTTCATAATTAATATATTATTTACCCATAGGTTCTATGAAAGCAAATAATCTATTCATAATTTGAAGTGCAGCATTATATTGTTTTGAATGATATAATAAAACTGCTTGATTATACCTCATAACACATTTTTCAATATCATCTATGGTTTCAGTTGAATCAATTGTAGACATTTGTCCACATATTGCATTTAAGCTTTTTCTTAATAATTCTGTTTTTTTTAAATCATTTTTATAACATTCTACTACAACTTTATTATGCATTACTTTTAAATCTTTAGGCCTAAGAGTTTCCAGTTTATTTAAATATGATAAACAATTAGCATATGAGCCTTTTTGAAATTCAGATAATGCATTTTGAGCCAATTCACGTTCTTGTTCTGTTATTACTCCAGGACCAATATCTTTATTCTGTAGCTCAGATGTTTCACTCATTTTTATTTATTACACAGCAATATTTACCATGTTTTAAAAGTTTCTGAATTTCACAAATTTATATATAACAATTACAGCTAAATAATTTTTCATATTTTCATATTTGACATTTATGGAGGTTAAATTTTGATCAAAAAGTTAGAAAATTCTAACTATCCTTCTATAAAAAAAATGTTTAATTTAAATTTATTAAACATAAATAATATTAAAATAACATTTAATTAAAAATAATTATTGATCTAATCCTAGTAAATTTAAAAATTAAATCTTTAATAACAACAACAAAGTACAGAATAAACCTACCATTTTATGAGATTTTGTATCCTATGTTTTGATTTACCGATCGTGCAAGAAAGGTTTTGATATGCCCTCTATAAGTTAAAGCTGAATTTAGGAATTATATTCAATATAATCATCAAAGTTGGTAAAGTCAATTAGTCAATATATATATAAATATTTACTTTAATTTACTTTATTATATATAAGATGTAATTTAAAAGCATTGGATGAAATAAATTGAGTGAGAATATATGATAAAATGATAAAATAAATAATATAGATTGTTTTAAATAAATAAATTTAACTCAATAATAAAAATATAAAAATCATAAACGTAATATTATATTTTTGTAATATTATTAAATAATGTTTTAATTAAAATATTCAATTATAAATATTACAAGAGAAATAATGAAATACTTTCATTTTTTAAAAAATTATATTATATAATTATTGATTTCAATAAAAAAAATGAATATTAAAATAAATTTTGAATTTAAATTGATAATTCTTTTTTCAATTAAAAAATGTAACAAAATTTTTATTATAATAATTAAACAATATTTTAATGTATTTATTAAATTAAATTTATTTTGAACTGAAACATCTAAAATAACGATATAAATTTACATATCAATTTACATATAATATAATAAAATTATATATATTATATTTACTAAATTTTTATATTTTTAATATAATATATGAATTATTATAATTTATATAATATTATTTACTACTATTTATATAATATTACTTAGATGCAAATACATAATAATAATTTGTCGATTTCAAAAAAAAATATAATATAAAAATGTAATATAAGTATAATAAAAAATATACACGAAATTAAATCTTATAAGATAGATATGTTTTTAATATATAATTTGTATCAAATTTATATTATTATAATATTTAAATTTTTACAAGTGCCTTAATAAATTTATACTAAAGATTAATTAGAAATCAAAATAATAGTACGATAAAAATATTATGTCCGATGGACCATAATTATTCATTTAAAAAATATAACAAAATATATATTAAACTACTAAAGTATATATTAAACTATATTATATTATATTATAAACAACAATTATAATTATATATCTTTTAATAACTTAATTAAAATTGTATAATAGAGCTAATTAATAAATTTAAATTAAACTGTAAAAAAATCATTTTTTCAACTCTTTTGTAACTCTTTTAGGTTATCTAAATGTAATTATTTCATAAATAATATAAATTGTTTATTTAATTTCAATTTTTGTTTTAAAATTAAGTTCTAATTTTGTTACATTATTATTAAATGAATTATTATATATAATTATTGTATTCATAACTCATTATTATCATTTAAAATAACATAAACAATGTCAGAAATTAAACATCAACAATTAAAAATATTGTCACAATTTTCATCTGAAGATCAGGTAAAATTTAAAAAAAGAAGTAATGTTTATAAAATAAAAATATAATATTTTACAAAATAATTAAATAATTTAAAAAAAAAAATTCAATATTAGAATAACGAGTATTGATTGTAAACATAATAGATTTAACTTTTTTATTAAAATGGTTCAATATTAGATAGTAAAAAAATTGCTCCCAGAAATGAAGATAATATCTTGATTTCCTTTTTGATTACAGGAATATATAAATAAACTTCAAACTAATGATGGAATATGTTTATCTTCTATATATAATTCAAATATTGAAATACAAGTTAGAAGCAAAAATAAGAATTATAAAAATAATATTGAATTTGATTTTATAAAATTAGAAAATATTTCTTTACAAAGTTTATCAAATTCTCAAAATGAATTAAAGATTAAATATACAGAGCAAAATAATATAAAAATAAAAAATGAATCTATGGAATCTATAACTCATTTAAATAATAAAAATATTTCTGATGATTTTAAATTAATAACAATCAATAATGAAATTAATAAAGAAGATATGAAAGATAATAATATTCCTATTAAAGTAAAAAAAGGCTTTGTATTTGAAAAAAATATTTTTAGTCAACTTAAAGATAAATCATATAATTATGAAATTAAGAATGAAAATTTAAATGATGAAAATAATGATCCTAAAACTAAATTTATAACATCAATTAATCAAAATAAAATCAAGATCAACAGTTTAATTATGCTAAATAAACAACTTAAAACATGTAATCAATGTTCAATGACATTTAGATACAAAAGACATTTAGATCGACATTTAGAAGGTCATCAAAAAAATAATTGTTCTCATTGCAATGCAAAATTTGCTAGACGCAAACATCTTGATATACATTTATTTCGTTCACATGGTGAAAGAGTAACAAAATATCCACATTCTTGTGATGTATGTTCTCGTAGCTTTCCTAAACGTATTTTATTAAATCGTCATCGTGCAAAACATAACTATGAAAATGGCAAAGTTTGTTCAGATTGTGGAGAAATGTTAAAAACAGAAGAAGATGATAAGAAACACAAAGAAAATTATTGTATAAGAAAACAATTTAAATGTAAAAAATGTTTACAAACATTTAGTATTGAACAAACATATACAGCTCATATCCAAAATCATAATAATCATAAATGCTCAAAATGTGATGTCACTTTTGCTTCTAAAAAAAAAGTACATGAACATTATAAAATGGTACATTCTTCAAAATTGAATCATAATCAAATATCAAATGGTAAGTTTTTTAAAACAAAATAATAAAAAATATATTAATAATTCATAAATATTGATTTTATAGGTATTTATTTTTGTGCTGACTGTAGAAATACTTTTTTAAAAAAGGATGATTATTCTCGTCATTTAAATTCTACATCACATCTTAATAAGATGAATAAAGAAATATCTCAAAGAAACATTTTTATATGTCTAATTTGTTCTAAGAAATTAATTTCACAAAGAGCTCTTGATCAACATATTAGACGTATACATAAAGAAGAAAAAAGATTTATATGTAATATATATGGTTGTACATTTCAATGTGCAAGAAAATCAGACTTGGATAGACATAAACAGTTACATATAGAACAAAGAAATATTATATGTGAACAATGTGGTAAAACTTTTACTAGTGTTAGTATTCTTAATGATCATGTTCTTTATATACATAATAAGGAAAGACAATTTATATGTGAAGAATGTGGTAAAGCATTTAAACGAAATAGTTTATTAAAAAGACATAAATTATCTCATCAACAATATCGACCATTTGTTTGTATGCAATGTAGTACTGCTTTCAAGAGATCCCATCATCTTTCTCGCCACATGGAAACTTGTCATAGAATTACGCTTGAAAAGAAAAAGAAGGTAAGTTTAATTATATATTTCTATTTTATTTTCTAATCTGTTTGTATCATTTAATAAAAATACAATTAAATTATAATGCAATATTTAACAGGTAGTAAAACTCATGAAAACAGAAGATGGTCATCTTGTTCCAATACCAGAGAAACCAAAAAATCTTAAACCCAAAAAATTAAAAATTAAAGCAGAATCTAATACAGTTTTAACATCAAATGACAAAACTTTATCTTTTCAAGATATGAATATTATTAATGAACATAAAGATTCAAATTTAGAAACTCTATTATTTAATGATCTATATGAAAATTCAACACTATCATTAGAATTTAATTTATTACCAAATACAAATTCTGCCTCACAAGTTCTTTCATTAGTAGATATTAATGCAGAACAAATTGTGACTGTAGAAGTTACTAGTCCAAAAACATTAATAATGAATGATGTTATAGATCAATTTGAAGTAAATTATAATGAAATATTAAATTTCAATTATCGAGATTCAGAATTTGAAAATGGAATTCTAAATACAGATCAAAATTTATATGATCATATAAATTATTCTGGATTATCATTAGAAACTGTGGAAGGAACATCACTTTTTTTGGATTCAAATATTAACAAAATAGATACTTTACCATTAGAAAATTATTTAAATCAATCATTTCCATCGTTTTTAAATCTTTAATCATAATTGTAAAATATTCAATTTATGGACTAAATAATTTATATTACATTTAGATAAAAAATTTTAGCATTAATTTAATTTATAAATGTGTACATGAAATGCATGCCTTATTTTTTAAAAATAATTAAATTTTAAATCACGGCAATCAAAAATGTGATATTTTTTAAATTAAATATTTTGTAATATTTAAATATTGTCAAAATTTATTATGCATTTAATAAGTAAAATGATTGTATAATAATTTTTCTAAATTTATTGTTTACATTAATGTATGTATGTAGATTAATGTATATAGGATGTTCTAAAAATATAGACATATCAATTAACTGAATATTTCTGAAATAATTTCAAACAACATTTTCTTTTGCAAAAATTTTCGTTATGGCTTTCTTAACGATTTATTAACAAAAAACTGAGCACCATAGAGCGCATAAATTAATCAAACCATGACGCAATATTGAGTACATAATATTGAATATGAACAAATCCAAGCAATATATATTTTATATATATATATATAAATTAATCAAACCATGACGCAATATTGAGTACATAATATTGAATATGAACAAATCCAAGCAATATATATTTTATATATATAATATAAAAAAGTATATTGAATATAACAAATGTTTTTGTTATATCTTATTAAAATCGAATTATATTCAAAAACAATAAATAAACTAATTGTGTTACTTATCAAATTTATTTATTACTTAAAATATTTATTTATATAAAATTTATTATTTAAATAAAATAAATAATATTAAATGTGATATAAAAAGATAAATATAAAACTTTTTTATAACAAGTGAATGATAAATAATATATATTTGGAGGAAGGAAAAAGAACAGGATTAAAATAGGAAAGAAATATCCTATACGAATGTTTTATAATACAAATAACAATTAATTACTTTCATTGTTCCTGTTCATTAACAAAGTTCATTAATAAAGTTATAACAAAAGTTTTTATAAAAGAAAAACTTGATGCTTGAAATTATAACAGGAATCTTAGTTCATTCTCTAATTAGTCAGTAATTTTTTCACATTTTTGAGATACATTGTATATTATAGAAATATCATCATTCTTTTAATTGCTAAAAAAAATATATTTTTTGAATATAACTATATGCTTGTCTTTCATTTAATGACACCAATTAAAGGCATGAGTTTGTTATAGTTATATAATTACAAACTTTTTATATTACAAGAATATATATTAAGTTTTTAAAGAAAAAAAATATTAACAACTAGAAAATTAAAAAATTAGAAAACTTTGTAATAACATTTCTCCATAATTATTGTTATATTTCTCAACTCTTGAGTTGAATCTTGTTATTTTTATAAGATTTATAATTTTTGATAGATTGATATTTCATCAAGACTATTGACATAAAGTTTATATTGGACAGTAGTTATGTATATTTATTATCTATTATATTAAAATAGAAGAAATATTTTCCTTTAAAATTAATATAAGATCTAAATAGATTTATATTATAATATATAATATGAGATTTATAAATAATAAAAATAAGTATATTAAAATAATTAAGCAATGTTTGACAATATATAGAAGTATTAATTATAGCAATTAAATAATTGTTAATATAAAAAAAATAATTATAAATTATTCTATATATTCGTATAAATTATAATTATATAAATTTTTATTCTATAAAAAATAAATATTTATGATATTTGATTATTGAATTTTTATCAAAAATAGATATTTTATAAACACTTTTAGTGAATATTCATGTCTATTTTTTGCATATATTTATTTTTTTGTTATATCCTTCTACATCTGATCATAATACATTATTATAAAATTTATTATAAAATAATAAGAAATAATCCAATTAATTTTCTTTCTTCATTACTAGTATTAGGATAAATAAAAATTAATTATCTATTAATTTATCTTCTTCTTAAAGCATAAACCATTTGAAAGTAAAATTCTCATGAATTGCTTTTAAAAATTATTCTTTGTAAGCAAACACTGCGTTGAAAATGATTTTTTGAAGTTATTTTTAACACAGTACTTAAATATTTGTGAAGAATATTCTTAAAAAACAACTTGCGAGAGTTTTATTCTGAAATAGTTTCATACTCTTAAAAATTACATTTTATATATTTGGAAAATTCATATCAAAATGTATGTTAACAAAGTTTTACATAATGATTTATACAAAAAATATATTATAACATATATATTATAATTTTTTATAAACTTTTTTAACACTACATTTTAATATTTTATATGCTTAAAAATCTTCCTGTTATAAAATTCAAAATACAAGATTTGTGAATAAAGTTTAGGTAAAATTTTATTAACACTATGACTTTTTTTGATTTGTTTATATGTTATTAAAATTATCAAATTTGTACAACTTACTTGTTTTTATACCCATATTCTTTATAGTCATTTTAAATCAACGATACTTAAGTAATGTATTAATATATTTCACAATATTTAGCTTGGACATTGTCTTTCACTTTAATTTCATTCTAAATTTTTCTCACGAAATAAATCTGTATAAAAGGACACTTAAAACTGCTGCAGTTGCTCCACCAATTAAGCTCCATGTAAATTTTGATGAATTTTTATTCTTATTTCCTTTCTTTAAATTTTTTAAAGATGTATTGTTATTTTTATGTGCACCTAACATTTTACGATATAAATTCTTTTCATGCTGAGCATCCTTAGCATTTTTTTCTTTTAAAATAGCTAATTCCATCTGAATAGCTTTTGTTTCTGGCTCCAATTTTGCTGCTTGAAGCAATGTTTGATATGCTAATGCATGTTCTCCTTTATAATGCAAAATTTTTCCTAGAATAATTTAATATTAAATAATTTTATATTAAAATATTTAATATACAAAATTTGTTATTATATATAAAATATATTTGTAATACTACCTTTTCTAAATAGAGCTTTTACATTTTGAGGTTGACAACTCAGAACACTTTCTACACTTTTCAATGCTGCATCATAAGCTTGTGTTTTCATTTGTGCAGCTGCTAAATTATTATATACTTTCATACGATCCTCTAACAAAGCTTGCAATTCTGCATCAGTAGTATCTTCTGCTTCACTTTGATAGGGTGTACGACTTTCTGTTGGTAACAAAAATTCTAATGCTCTCCGGTAACATTGAATTGCAAGTGTTGGTTCATTACGAGTAAACCACCAATTCCCACGTTCTCGTTTTTTATTGCTTTAAAAAAAGACAATAATTAATCATAAATTTAAGCAATAATATGTAAAAAATAATTACCCAATTTCTTTTCGCTGATTAGCATTAAGGGTTTCTATTTCTGCTTCTAATTCACTTGATTTTAATTCAACTGTATATAAAATAGTTGCATTAGATGGAATATTTGGTTCTTTTCCTAGAGAACCATAAGCAAATCTTGGATCAACCTCAATTTCAGCAATTTCATTCACATCCATTAATGCAATTGCTAAATCTAATCCCTATAATTAAATAATATAATAAAAATATTATTATAATAATGTTAAAATATAAATATTTGTTATTAAAAAATTTACAATTATTATATTAATTTTGTAACAATATAATATATTTAATACTATAAGGGAATAATAATCATACAAAAAATCTTTAAAATATTATTAAATATATAGATATATATTTAAAAAAATTTGAAAATAAGATTTAAGAAAGAATTCTATACCTGAATCAATTCAACATCTCCTAATTGAATTTTAAGATCTTCATACTTTTCAACTATTGTATTATCTTTTAATTTACCAATAATTTTTAAAGTACAAATATCAGATCTATTTGGTCGTGTTCCATTTTTTCCATTTTTTATAACTTTTTTTTTAAGCTGTCCATTTCCTAAAATATCTATCCACTCTTCAGGTGGATGTTCATTTAAAGTTGCTTTTGTCATTGGTTCATTTGGATCTACATCAAAGTTTAGTTCTTCATTAATGAAATCAGCTTGAGTTGTTCCTGACTGATTAGATTCATCTTCCATCTTTAAAAAAATTCAATAAATTATTCAAATTTATATATCAATTTTATATAAACAAAAAAATATAATATACTTTTAAAAAATATTATTTATAAAAATAAATCATAAATGGTAAATTCACATTTTATTAAGGAATTAAAAATTATTCTTATTTCACATAGAAAAAAATTCCAATCTTAATAAAATGCATGTTTAAAAATTAATTTTCAAGTTGCAATACCAAATATGTCATTTATATTTTAAAATGATGTGTTATTAATTATAAAAAATATTAAATGATAAAATTGAAAATTTCGTATTTTATTTGACAAATCAACACATGTAACGAATATTCAATAAACAGTAGAAAAATGCATACTCATTCGATGAATCGAAGAAATTTGAAGTAAGATAAATATTACTATTTCTTATTATACCACATAATTCAGTTTTTAGATTGATTTTCCTCTAAAAATACATACCTTGTTATTTTCAAAAGTTTGAATAGTCATTAGAAATGTTTTGAAATAATTTGTTTCGCAATACACACGATATCAGTTGACTTCACTTATTACTTGAAATAAGCATTAGTAAAATATCGAAAATATTTAATCGATAATCGAATTTTTTTAAGCCATTTGATTACGTAAATATATATGAATTAATTAGTTTCATTCAATTGCTCGATTCAATTATTGAGATAAATTTACGACAAGTAAATATTTTTGTTTTATGAATTTTACAATGTATAAGTAACCTAATAGTGATATGTATGATATGTATGAATCATTAATTTTTATTACTAATGAAATTGAAACAAGACACTATCATTTTGCATTTATTTAATATCTAATAATTTTTAATTTTCTATAATAAAAGAAAAATATATTATTAAATTCATTTTATTTACAATAAAATAAATTTACTTACAATACTTACAAAATAAAGCAAATCAATTTTTATTCTTCATGTATAAATATTATTCTATGATAACCAAAAAAAAGAAAATAAAATAATATATATATATATATATAATACATACATATATTATAACACATATATATATTATAACAAATATATTTATAACATCCAAATTTCTATCTGTATTCTTATATTATTTCCTATATTTATATTATCAAAATAATAATTCATATCAATATCAAAATTATAATATAAAATATAAATATAAATATATTCAAATTCATATATTAATTTTTTTATTATTTTATATATCATTTAAATATATTACTTGAATTATTTATTTATAAATAAAAATATAATAATGAAAAGTATAAGATAATAATTAATTTTTTTTAATATATTGTATATATTGTATATATATCAAAATTTTATTATGTATAAAAAAAAAGAATTTTTTTTAATTGATTTTAATTAATGAATTGAATTTATATTTCTCAAATAAAAAAATATATAATTATATAATATTTTATTAGAATTTTTATAATAATATAAATTAATAATATGTATTCTAAACTTATAATATATATTTGTTATATGCAAATAGATAACAATAAAGATAACCAATTGAATAATCCCACATTTCTAATATAAGCGCATGCGTAAGGGATCCACGTTCGATTATATACTATATATATACTGTATATTACATTTCATTCTGATAGAATATACCTTAGTCTTCATCTGGTTAATTTCTGGATAAAAATATTTTTTATTAACAATGAAATTGCTTTTATTAGTGGGAGCAGTGTTAGCGATGTTTTGTACAACCGGTAATGCTGATAATACGAAAGGCCCAAAAGTTACAGATAAAGTAAGTAAATTAATTATGCCGGTATACTTCATTTGGTTTAGTTCAAAAATAAAAAATATATATATAGTTCATTAATGACATATCTTTTTTGTTTTTAAAAAATCGTATTATCGTATTTTATCATTTGGATATATTTCTATTTATTTTTGGTATTTAAATTTAGAAAATTTTTTTAAAATAAATTATATATATAATTTATATACAATTTTATATTTTTTAGTTATATATATATACACATATATATATAAGAAAAAATGTATTTAAATTTGTTTACATATTGAATATTTTTACATGCCAAATTTGTGATTATATGATTATAATTTAATTTTTATATGTTGTGAAATTAAATATAACAAAATCTACATATGTAGGTATGGTTTGATATTAATATTGATGGTAAATATGAAGGAAGAATTGAAATTGGACTTTTTGGAAAAACAGTTCCAAAAACAGTTGAAAATTTCATTGAATTATCTAAAAAACCTCAAGGAGAAGGATATAAGGGTAGTAAATTTCATAGAGTCATTAGTGAATTTATGATTCAAGGAGGAGATTTTACAAAAGGAGATGGAACTGGAGGTTTGAATTATATGATATTATGATATTATTTATTTATATTATTTATTTCTATATATATTTTTTAATATGAAATTGTACAATAAATTTAAAAAAATTTTTAAATAATTAAAATATTTATAATATTTGAAATATTTAACAATATGTTTAATTACATTTTATTATAATTTTATCCATCAGGACATAGTATTTATGGTAGTCGTTTTAAAGATGAAAACTTCAAATTGAATCATTATGGTGCTGGGTGGTTGTCTATGGCAAATGCTGGAAAAGATACTAATGGTTCTCAGTTTTTTATTACTGTAAAACAAACTCCATGGCTTGATGGTAGACATGTTGTATTTGGCAAAGTAATTAAAGGAATGGTATGTAATTATTTAAATATAATTAAATTTAAAATATAAATTTATATTATTTATATTATATTTATATATTATTTAAATATAATCTATCATCTTATTTTTTAAATATTTATTACGAAAATAATTTTATATAGGATGTAGTAAGAAAAATTGAAAATGTAAATACTGATACACGAGATAGACCAATAAAAGATGTTGTAATTGCTGATTGTGGTGCAGAAGTAGTAGCAAATCCTTTCAGTGTATCAAAAGAAGATGCTACAGATTAAATATATTTTCATTTTTATAATAATGAAAATTAATAATTTTTAACTACCATATGCTAAAAAAAATTCTAATATGATCATAATTTTTTTTACTAAATATTCAGAAAATATAATATTTAAAAATTTATTACAAAAATTTTTTAATTATTATTTGCATAATTGTTAAAATAATTATTTTAATAAATCTTGTTATAATATTATTAAAATATTTTAACAATTAAAAATCATTAAAAAATACATAATAAAAATTTGTTTTTATTATTTTATAATTATACATTCTGCAAATCACAAATAATAAATAAATATTTTAAACATATGGAGTTAAAAAATATTATTTTAAGCTTTCTTATCTTATTTCAATTTTCATAAAACCATAAAATATATATATATATATATATATATATAAACATATAATAAATTTTATATACTTATAATCACATTTTTTTCAAATAAACTTAAATTGTTTATAATGTTTTATTTTGTTTCATTTCTTTTATAACCATATTTACTGCAAATAATACAAATATGATAAAAATAAATGAAACATTTCACATAGTGTTATGGATAGATATACTTTATTAATGTTGTAACATAATACCAATACCTTTCACTTTAAAGTTCATGACATTCTCACAAATAATTTCTTCATTCATTTTTATAGAACATTTGTTAAACATGTGCATAAATCACAATCAATAAAAAATTAATGAAGGGATTTTATTATATATTTTCATTAATTTTCGTATATGTAATAAGATTTATAAATATACGAAGTATTAAAATAATTTTGAATTAAATAATGTAGTAGTTATTAGAAGATGATAAAAATAAATATGTTACGAAACAATCATTTTAAAAAATTTAAAATTATATTATTTTATTTTATTTTATAGAGATAATTTCTTTATTGTATCATACAAACATATCATATAGCTGCTACCATTCTTAAGTACTTATTATATAAATAGTTGCTAAATTGATAAATTAATAAAATTATTAAGTTGAGCATATTTTTTTAAAAAATTATCTATGTAGGTTATAAGATTTTTATACTAAATATGTGATTTATTTTATTTATTTTATTATTCTATTTTATTATATTATTGAAAATATCATGTATTTATTTTAAAAAAGAGTAGGAAATGTTTCTTTTAAGAATTTTCCTTTTCTATAATTGTTAATATTTAATAATTTAATATCTAAAATGATTTAATCTTTGTTCTATATAATTTTTTCTCAGACAACTTTCGATTACTTCGATACAGTCTCATTCGAACTCAGATAAAAATATAATTTTTTAATATATCATATAGCGCTAGTGATTTCAATATACTATGTACTTCATGTGTTATAACCTTAGTATGAAATTTAAATAAATTGTTTATTTTTATTAATTATATTTTTCTTATATGTAATTTTTTTTATTTTTTTATGTCACAATATAATTATTGTTTAATTACATTAAATATAACAATTGATAATCAAGTTTTTGTATCAAAAAACTACATTGAGTATTGAAATTAATTTGAATTTAATGTTAGATTTTGATTTTAATATTAATAAAAAAATTTGATTTTAATGTTAGATTACTATTTAAAAAATGCTTCAAATAAAATCTGTATTATTTTATATTATATTTTTTTTATTTTTAATGTTGTTTCTTTTATTCTACATACTTGGAGTTGTTCGTTATATTACGGATTTTGAAGAAAATACTTGTGATATGACATATATGTTTGAATATCCACAATATGTGGTAGGTAAATATAATATTTAAAAAAATATATATATAAAATATTATAATATATTATAATATTATATATATTAAGTATAATATATATAAAATGTTAATCTATTTTATTTAATTCTTTTTAAATTTTTATTTAATTCTTTGTAAATCTATCTATTATTTTATTAAATTAAATTATCAACAATCATATAATAATAATTTTATAATTTTATGATATAATCATATAATAATTTTAAAAAATTTTATATTTAAATTTATATATAATATATTAAATTATTATGATTGAAATCGATTTTTGAATTATAAAAGATTTTTATAAATTTTTTTACTTCTAATTTGAACAATATTTTTATTTATTAATCTTTTTTTTGAACATTTATAATAAAGCTTATTGATTTTATTTCAAACTAATTTTCAAATTAACTTTATATGATGTATTATTACTATTATTATATTAATAAATTAATTTAAACTTAATTTGTAAGTATAATATAGAAAATGTTAATTTTAATAATTAATATATAATAGTTTTTTCCTTTAATAAAAATCTTTTATTATAAATACTTGAAAAGAGAATCTCCTTAAATAATGAAATAGAAGAACGATACCCAAGATATGGATTATATGCATATGGGGAAGGTTTTGTTACTGAAAAACTTAGAAGAATGTACTTCTCAGGAATACCTGTACTTTTTATACCTGGTAATCTTGGATCTCATGAGCAAGGTTCTTAGAATCTGTTATTAAAAGGTATTTTAATTTGATTTGAATCTGTTGTTAATAATTCTATTATTTTTAGTAAGATCTCTTGCTTCTGTCAGTTTGAGAAAAAGTTTAAAAGATAGGACTCCATTTCATTTTGATTATTTTACTGTTTCAATAGGCAAGGATTATTCTGCTTTATATGGAGGTATGAATAAAAAGAATATATGATATAATTATATGTATATTCTATTGTATATTTTATATACATTATAATTCTATTATATATAAAATAATAATTTTATTAATCATTTTACTCATCATTTATCATTTATTTTTTTTTTATTTTTTTCATGTATTTTTTAAATAATTCATATATAATTTATTATTAGTCAACCTGTTAATTAAATATTTTCTTAGTAATCGTAGTAAGCTTAAAATATATTGTTAAAAGCATTTTCAAATATTAGAATTTTTAGCATTTTTCCTTTACACTTAATAATATATATTAATAATTAAAACAATTTATTTTAATTCTTAAGTTATTTATAAAAAGTTTTAATATATATTATTATTATAGTAGAAGAAATTGTTTAAAATGTTATCTTTATAACATATTTCAAATTCATTAAAATCAATAAAGAAAGAGTTAATCAGCAGGTTGACTTTTAAATAATTAAAAAGAATAAATGATAATTTATTGTAATTAATTCAAGGTGTATTGATTGAAGAAACAATGTATGTTTCATATTGTATACAAAAAATATTAAGTTTATATAAATCTAAAATAGATAACATTGTGCTTATAGGACATTCAATGGTAAATACATTTAGTATTATTATATTTATTTCAATAAGAATATTATATTATTTCTTTATTTTTAGGGAGGTATTATAGCTAAAGGTTCTGTTTTGATGACTCCAAATATAAATGCTAGTGTTGCAAGCATTATTATTACTTTAGCTACTCCTCATACACCTACATTAGCGTTAGATTATACTTTTGTTAATTATTATAAAAATTTAGAAAAACGCTTAAATGATATAAAAGATGCAGGAATAAATGTGATATCAATAGGAGGTGGACCACGAGATACACTCATAACATCAACACAAATTTTAGATCCTACAGCAGATATTAATGTTATTTCTAATGCTATACCAGATGTTTGGAAATCTGTGGATCATCTTAGTATTTTATGGTGTAAACAATTAGTATTATCTATTGTGCATTCATTATTTGATTCTGTTAATTATGCTCAAAAACCACCTAAAATATTTTCCACACCTAATGAAAGAATGCAAGCATTATCATATCATTTTTATCATGTAAGAAAGTTTTTTAAAGTTATCTTCATCTATAAAGTATTTAAACTATAAAAATTAATTTTACAGCGTACTTCTGGAAAAAGATTATATTTTTATAAAGAAATAATACAATTTGAAACTGATGGTGAATGGATAGAGAATATTCAAAGGCATTATACATGGACTAATAAAAACTCATTTAAGAAAACATCTTCTATTTATCTTATGATTAGATTAAGTGGACAACCTGATTATTTAACTATTGATACTAAAAATTTAGAATCTAAAGATTGGTTATTTGCATGTACAGCATCTAATATACAAGGACAATCAAGAATTTGGTAATATTAAATTATTTCTTTTAATTAAAAATTATAAATTTATTAAAATATTATTATAAAAAAAATATTCTATATTTAATTTAGCAATTGGGGTTGGAACTTGACAAATAGAACAAGAATTTTATCAGATCCTTTACACCGTATAAGAAAAACTGTTGATTTAAATTTGCAAGAGATAAAATATCCTGGTATAACACATATTATAATAAGAATTACACCAGATAATTTAGAAAAATATGTTACAATAAATGTAGATTTATATTCTTATGATACAAGATTTATATTTATTAAGAATAATCTATCTTTATTGAAAAATTTATTTATTTTACCTCAAATAAAAAAATCTCATCCTGGACATATTAGATATTATGCTAGTTTTGATAACTTTGTAAACGTTATTGCTGTTGAACTTAAAGCATCTGGATGTATGGATCCAAAACATGCAATTGTTGAATTAATAGAACCATGGAGTATTGGAGTTACACAAATTCAATTTTTTACAGTTATGTGAGTATAAGCTCTAAATAAACTATAAATTTCTAAATTATAAATTTTTTTTTTAGTTTTAAATTATTGAATTATTAAAATTTAATATTTTAGAGATAATGGACCAAAAATAATGAAAATTCAAACTAAAAATAAGTATTCTAATATTTCTCCAAATTTAAGAATAACTCTAGATCCTGCATGTTCATATGTAATTAATATTCAAAAAGGTGGAATTATAGATCAAATATCTTGTATTGTAAGAGATCGCTGGTATTTATTGTATACAACAATTATTAGTTTACTTTTGTTATTTTTATCTACAAGAATCAATCATGGCCATAATCAAACTCCAATAATAATAATTACGATATTTCTATCGTTTTGTTATAATTTAATGTTTGAATGTTTAATTGCTTTGGCAATTATTTGTGTATTTATTATTGGACTCTGCTGTTGCATTATATTTTTTGGCTCAGTAGCTCATAATATTGCTGTGAGGTAAAAAATTATAATTATATTGATACATATATTTATATTATAGAAAATTTTTTATGTTATTCAATTTATCAATTTTTTTTAGGTTTCTAGCACGTGTAATAACTTTTTCAACAACATGGTCAGATTGGCTGCTTGGAGGATTAAATCAATTACCATTTATTACTACAATTCTTGTTTTATCTTTAATTCCAGCAACATGTGGAGCTTTAGCTATGTTAATTTCCATTTTTCTTTATTTTTTAAATTTGACGAAAATGTATGAAGATTATTTAGAAGAACTTTTAATGGCTTCATTACAACATTTTAATTGGATAAGACAATTTAGAAGTACAAAAGATAATTCTAAAAATACAAGACAAAAAATATTCAATCATCTTATTTTTTTTATACTTTGGTGCTTTACTGCTATTCCAGCTGTACCATCTGTACTTGTTTGGGCAAAAAATTTCAGGTTTGTAATTAATTATTTAAAAAATATAAAATATGGGTATTCAGTATTAAAATTATTACTGTAAATTTGTTTTAGTTACAATATGAAACTTTCTTCGGAAGATTCTTTATTACTTCAAAGCTGGATAATTTTAGTAACATGCAGTACAATGGGATGGGTGCAACTTCCTTCTAATAATCATAAAAATCGATCTCAAATATTATCCAGTATATTATGTTTTTTAGGTTGGGTAGTACTTTTAATGGGAGCAGCACCTCATCCACCTTTTTATCAATATTGTATACCACCTATTGTAGCAGGAACTATTAGTATTATTGCATTAAATTTCATTTTTTCTTAAAATATTATTTATTTAAAATAATACTTTAATCTAATCTTCCTGTCTATATCAGTTTCATGTACATCTAAATTGTATATATTGTGTTTGTATAAAAATATTTATATTTAGAATGTGTATAATAATATAATAGTTATATTGAAATTTATTCCATTAAACTTTTAGCTATTTCGCACTTTATGTAAACAAATTGTGTTGTCTTACAATCCTTACTATTGTTTTTTTTATCTTTATATCTTTAGAAGAAAAAGTGCTTATAAAAAATGTGCAAAAAATCTTTATCTCTTAAACTGCATATGTTACAATATAATATTCAGGCCTCAAATATAAAAAATATAATAAATTGATAAAAATTTTTGACATTTTATTTCAATGTTCAGAAAATGAAAATAATATTACATATTATTATAACTGAAATATTTTACGCTTAATACATATAAATACAAACTTAAAATTATCTGAGATTAACAACTACAAGTCAAATTTGTAACAATTCATTTTGATTATAATCATTTACTACAAATCTGACTTGAAGTTTAGATTGAATGGATTATAATATATAATATATATAATTATATTATTAATTTATAATAATATATATAATTATATGAAATAATTTGTATTATTATAAATAAAATACCTATATACACATTACAAATTAATATTTTTTATTTAATTTATAAATAATTGGGAAATATTAAAATATTTTATTATACAGCAAACAATAAATTTATTGTTTATCGGAAAAAGATATACAGTTTTAACATTTTTATATGACCTATTTAACATCACATTTATTGTATATTTTTTTTATTGTATTATTGCTATTTTTAATATTTTATGTCTGTCTTAAATTCATTAACTAAAAAAATTTTTTTTATTCTTATTTTTAATTTTAGTTAATTTTATTTAATTAATCAACAATTGTTTAAATAACAAACTAAATTACATCAAATTGATAGAAAAAATTGAATTCAACTTTATATAGATATATGATCTATTTACTGTTTACAAGATAATGATATACACATTTATGTAAATTAATGAGACCCAAAAATAATCATGATATATGCAATTATCATAGAAATATGGCAGTAACCTAATTTTACAAATTAATAATATAATGCCCACTCATTTTCTTGTAGAAATGTATCAACTACTTCCTTCATTGCTAAATTAGGGATTAATTGATCCTGAGTTAAACGAACTCTAGTAACTGGATCAAAGTGTCCCACCCTTTGTAAATGTTCTTCAATGTCTTTTCGTTCATATGTAATTCCACTTGGCGTTATTACAGGTTCTTGTAAAATTTCAAAACTAATTTTTCCACATAAATAATCAGGTACTTCTCTTTTCTATTCCACATATTCATAAAAATTGCAGATAATACATAATTACTTTTTTTCATATGCAATTAAAAACTTCAAAAATAATCAAGAATATAAACTCACCCTTCTTCTTTCATCCACTTTTGCAAATAAATCATTAAGGTGAGCCATACATGTATCTCTTTTTTCTTCTATCTCTTCTTTTTTCCTTGTAAATTCAATAGATGAGGCTTCTCCTTCACTTTTACTATCTACATCTTTAATTGCTTCTTGTTCCTTTAAGGCAGCTAAACTTCGTTCAGCATCTTCTACTATCAATTGATTCAGATATGATTGTAATTCAATATCTTGAGCAATTCTCTGTTCTTCTCTCAATTGAAAACAACGTTTTCGTGCTTGCCTTAAAATGCTGGTCATATCATCTCCATAATTTAACTTTTGTTCCTTGGCCAAATCCACAGCTACATTATCGTTGAGATGTGTAATCATGAGAATGGCAAATTTCACATTGCCATAAAAACCATGAATACCATAAAAAAAAATATTCACAAGATATTTCCATATTTCACAATGATATATATAATATACAATAAAATATTATAGATATTATATCTAGATATATATATATCAAGACAAGATAATCTAATCTTTAAATGCTGTCATAGATGAAATTTCATTCTAAACAAATGTTGTTTTTATACAACTTTTCAATGATAGCTTTTAAAGATTAAGATAATATACAAAAAAAGATATGGCATATAAAATTATATTAATAAACAAATAATGTTTTTTATTAAAAAATATTTTGCAAAATGCAATTTAAAAATATAATGTTTATTTTGATTATATATATGAAATAAGTAAAATGATTTTATAATGAAATGATAAAATAAAAAATTTAATCATTAATATTAAATACATTTAAGATATTAGAAAAAAATAGTAATATATAATATAATGTAATATAATATAATTATTTCATAAAAATTATGATGAAATATTTTCCTATAAATAAATTTTTATAAGAAGCATATTATAATAAGAAACCAGTGAAATTTCAAAACAAAAATATAGCGACATACCTCTTTGTAAATGTTTCACAGCTTCATCGAAGAGTTCCATTTCAAGAAGAGCTAGACCCAAGAAAAAATGACCCTTCACCAGACATGGATCGATATCGAGAGCACGTCTGCAGTCTAGACAGGATGATTCCCATCGTTTCAATTTCAGGTTACACAGCGCTCGGTTCGTAAAATATAGTGCTTGGGTTGGATTTTTAATCTGCAGGAATGAGATGCAATGTCGTAACTTGCCTGCATAGATTCATAGTAGCACTCACAATTGCTTTGGTGTAGCAGTGTGCAGCATCCTCATATTTGTGAAGATTGAAAAGTCGATTTCCTTCTTCTTTTAACTCTTTGTCAGAGAGGTTGGCGGTTGTATACATTTTACTCATCTTGGCAACAAATGTTGTGCCGTATTAAACACTCTTCTACATATGAAGTCTCGTTGGATTATTTACTAATATTTCTTATAAGAAAAAATAGTCGAATTGTAAACAAATCGACTAACAAAATAATATTGTATAACCTTAACCTTAATGACATATACGTTCTTCCATTTTCCTTGTGAGTTTGTCAGTCATTAACTAAAATGTGATAAAGAAGTACATAGTAAATAAAACTAGGAGGAAGTTATCTTTCAATATAAAGTCTGATTTTCAAAAAATATTCAATATGAATATTTTAATATTTGTTCATTTCTAAATATTGTAACATTTTTTAAAAATATTTTTGTCCTGTGTAATACTTTATTTATTTATTTATTTTTATTTTCAAATTTACAGAGATTTTCATCCTATTTTTAATTATAATTTTGGTAAATTATAATTATCAATAAAAAAAAACAGATTAATAAAATAATTGCTCATTTCAGAAATTAAAATTATATAAAAATAATAAAATATATAAATATAAATATAATATAAATATTGTCATTTTTTGATTGGAATATTTTTATTGCGATGTAAAAAATTTTATTACATCTATTATTTTAATTGTTAGTCTTTTTTTAATTTTATTTTTTTTTTAATTTAAAATTATAGAAATACAAGTATGTGTTTATATTTATAAAATTCATAGTTTGAAGTGTTATGTATTTGATATAATAATATAATATTTATATAATCAACTCATATATAGTATAATTAATTAATAAAAAAAATAAATAAATAAATTTATTGAAAAATAATTTTATTTTTGTTTATTTTTTTAAAATAATTATTTTCTACTTCAAACTATAAAATTAATTATATATTTTAATTATTTTACATACTGCTATATATTATTAATCTTAGATATACTATATATACAAATAGGTTTGTTTGTTATAGGGTGTCTATTGTATTCAGCAATAATTCCTATTTTATGTTTAAAAAATTCTAACATTTTTTTTGCAATCAATTTATTATTTTCATGTACATCTGAATGTTTTAAAAAATCATTCACCTATAAAATAAAATAATTATTTATTATAATAAAAATTTTTTTGTAATATTAAAACAAATAAAAAATTACCTTCATCCATCTGCATTCAGAAATTTCTTTTTCACATTTTTTAATATTGAAATTAAGAGGAGTTAAATAAGCAACCATATATATATCAGAACAATTAAATGAATAATCATGAATATGTCTAAAGCTTATTATACACTTGAAAATAGTTTGTATACCAGTTTCTTCTAGAATTTCTCTTTTCACAGCTTCTTCTAAATTTTCTCCTTTAATAAAAAAATTTAAATAAAAAAAAATATTATTATTATATATATATTATGTAATATTAATTACATTAATTTAATATTAATTTATTGTAATAATTTATAAAAAATTATATACCTGGATTAACATGACCACCTGGTAATTTCCACATAGCTTTTTTGTTTACATATTTTTCTTTAAGAACTAAAACTTCTTGAGTTTCTTCATTATAAACAAACCCACCAACTCCTAAATTTGTATGTGCATAATGTGGAATATTACATTCTTCATTAACTAACCATCGGTAAAGCATGACATATTCTTGTTTTGCATGATGAAATTTAAATCCTTCTTTCACAAGTATTGGTATCCATTCTGAATGTGATAAATATACGCGAAACCATATTGTGCGTTTTTTATTTTGTATCCACTCTTGTAAAGATGCTAAAAAAATTATACTAAAAAATTATGCTAAAAAAATTATATATATAAAATTACATATATATAATACAAATGTTAATTTCTTGTTAGATTCTTTTTCTTTGATTTTGAAAAAATAATAATAATAATTTATGAATTTTTCTAATAATTTTTATATTACATACCTGTAAGACGATGAGCAAATACTTGAGACGTGCAAGATTCTTCATTTGAGTCGATAGTTATGCCATTATAGTGATCATTATTCCCTTTAAAACACTTCGATGCCATAATTACAGAAAGATTACTATAATATGTTTTACGACGCAATATAGTGTAAAAGATAGTATGATGTTTCACTAAAAATTGTTGTTTTAACCGTAGCAACGTAATGAAATTTTGAAGTTTCAATCCTACACATTGCAACATTTGAAAATATAAAATATAAACATTTTTGAAAATTTTTCAATGATGATATTTACTATCATATTTTGTATAGATACGTAAATTAAAAGTTTTTATGTAACATGATTAAAACTAGTTTATTATTAATATGTATAATGTTAGATAAAAAATTCTAACCTAATATTTTTAAGACAAAAGTATTTGCTTAGATAGAAATATTGCAAAGAAGTATATACGAAGATATCTTGCCTTTCGTATATATATTTATAATGCAATATAATAATATTAATATAAATTCATTATTTATTACTTAATTATAAATTAATAAAATCATTATAAATGTAACAAATTAAAATTTTAATTTATTTAATTATCATCAACATAAATAACATTCTTTTTTTAAAAATATAATAATATTTATGCTAATTTATTACAGAAAAATATAAAACATATTTATTATAATTTACTAAATTTTTTTCAATTCACATATAATAAATATTACATATAATTAAAATAAAACATGCAAATATGGTAAGTAATAATAAACAAAAAAATAAGAAGTTTCTATTATATTAAAATTTTTAAATATAAAAATTTGATTAATATATAGTAATAATAACAACAATACAAAATAAACTGAATTAAAAAATGTCAAAAGGTACAATCTCGTTTTTTATTCCAAAATGATTCTATATCCTCGTAAACTTTAATAATAGGAAAATTATAATGAAGAGCCTCACAAATACGACAATAGTGTCGCGAAATACTACCAAAATAACCATGTTCATTGATTACTTTGTAATATTTACGCCATTCGTGAAATTCGAAATATTTGTCATCATGTTGATTAAGGTAACGAATGTAATTTGCCAAAGCCATTGGATTTGCGAAATCATTAACATGGAGAAATGAATGTGGTGGTAATAATTTCTCACAATCTTTTTTTGATGCACCCATTATTACTGGAATTGCTAATTTATGATAACCATGCCAAAATACTTTTTCTGTTATATATTCTTTACAATTTGAATTTTCAAAAGCTAAATAGAATTTATATGCATTTAAAATAGAACAATCTCTATCGAAATGACCTGGACACGCGGTTGTATTACCGTTTAAACATTTTCCATATATGTCAAGATCATTACTGAAAATTAATTTTAATTCTTTAATATATTTCCATCGTCCATTCGTGCCTGCACAATTACTACCCATCACAGTGACTAGTTTAGTTTTTAATTTTTTTATCACATCCTTTGAAAAATTTATTTCTGGTGAGTGTATAAATGATGTAGAAATCGTTCTACCGTAAGGTACTGGTACATCGCTATTCATTCGATAAGTCATTGACCAGTTAAATAAACCATTATATTTGAATAATTGTTGATTTCCATAAAGAAAAGTATGCATTGGTGATTCATCAGTTAAAAAAATCCATCTTTGGTTCCATCGAGTTCTAGTTGGTAATTCCAACGCGTTCCTTGTCAAATGTAAATGAAACACAACTGCGTCTGCTATATCTAAATCTTTCGATCGATAGCTCAATACACATCGATTAACTGTACAATTATTCCAAGGTGAAAATCTAAAATAAAAAGATCATATTTAAATTTAAACTTAAATTTATATACCAATTTATTAATATTTAAATTAATAATTGCTTATATGTATATATAATTAGATATTTTTAATATATTTGTAATATATTAACTTTTTATTTGTAAAACGTTTGATATGCCTGCGTTCCAAAAACTTTCCATGTTTCCAAATTAAAATCAAATATGGTTCCTTTTTTTTATTTATAACTGTTGGCGGTAAACTACCTTCAGAAGACAAGAGCCATCTTCCAAGTAAAGATGTTTTATCAGTCTGATACGAATAAAGGCGCGAATTAATAATGCTATAACTGCTATTAAAAGCTCTATAACACTTGTTTTATCATTAATATTTTTTATTATATAAATTTAAATTCTTTTATTTTCGTAATTCGTAGTTTAATTAAATAATAATAGAAAACTAATTTTAATCAAAGATACACATACCTGTTCTTTTGTAAAATTTCTTTTTCTTGATAAAATCACTAAACTTTCTTTCGTTTGCTTTCGATGTTCTATTTGTTTTATAAATACATCTTTATAAACTTTTTTGTTTAGCAAACTTGGAAAATTAACAAAAATAACACAAAAAATTGTACAACCAATACATAAAATTAATAGTATTTTCAAATATTGTGAAATTCCGAGCATCGCGCTTTAAACTTTTTCGACGACAGAATATGGCAAGTATTAACCGAAGCATATCGGTACTTAATCGCTTTTGCGTTTTTATTCTTTATGAGCTGTTTTTCTATTTTAAAATTACTCTCTTGAATGAAATGAAATTATTAATTAATAGGATACGCTATTCAAACGTTGTTGTTAGAACGATATGAATTTTTCTTGTTAATCTGAAGATTAATGAAATGTAATGAGGTGATAGATGAAAAGATGTTTAGAAGAAAGAAACAGGTCTGACCAACAACTGAGACTACCTTTGACGTGTGTTGCAAGTAATCGTTGATCTCGATTGTCTTGGTTAACCAAGTGTAACGATTCATGTAGCAAATTATTAACGTTATCTTCTGCAGTAATAAAAAAATTGCATTCTTTGTTATTTTTTTGTTATTTTTTCAAGAAAAATTTAAGTTCATTAAAAAAAAATATATATATTAAAAATGAATGAAAAAATAATTCTTAGTAGCTTATAATTTATTTAAAGCTATTAATATCTTTCTTTAATAAGTTTGTTACTTTAATTTAATATTATCCATCAATTATATCAATTGTGAATATATGGAAGATTATGTTTAGATTTTAAAATTCGCGCTTATATAACTCAATTTTTTAATATTTGTAATAAAAATAAATATGAAACTACTTATTCTTTAAATATATTGATCGTAAATATGTTAATATATTTTTATAAATATATTTAATAATACACATATTAAATATTTAAATTTTAACCACTAATCGAATTATTTTAGTTGACATAATTTTGATATATAATTGAAATTGTATTGTTGTATTAACATGAATATCGTCATTAAGAGATAAAAATTATTTGTAAGTAATTTTAATTGACATGTAAAAAAATTACAATAATACATAACAAAAGTATAATAAAAAATTGATAAATCCTTAACCAAATAAATTTAGTTTAATATATACATATATATAAATAGTTATATATATAATTATATATATTATATAAATTTTGTACCTTTTTTAATTTTTTGACAAGTGCACAATATTTAAAAATTGTAATCAATTTATACTTATCATATAAATTATGATCAATTTTGTATATTACATCGGTAAATGTTTTAATTATATACATAGTTTTATATAAAATCATATAGGTTGGCAATAGCTAGGAAATTTTTTGAAGAAAAGTTTTTCTTTCTTTTATTGTTCAGTTACTAGCGAATAGCACGTGTAAGAGGTAAATGACAATGAGAATGTTAGGTGACAAAGTTAAAGATTGTAATAATAGTAATGAAAATATAGATTGTTTGAATTTTAATGATTTATCAAAGGAACATATATTACAATGTATTAACATTATTTGCCATTTAACTGAAGAAAAATTGAAAACAAACAATGCATTATTCGAAGATGAAAGTCAACCAATTTTCATGCAAGTAACATGTATTAGAGTACCTAAAACTCCAAGAAGATTTATGAGAATGTAAGTTCATACATTTTGAATATATCTATTTTATTAAATAAATAACAAATTATTTTTATATATTAAATTTAATATAACGCATATTTATATATTTATCTATAATATATATTCGATATATTTTTTGATTTTTATGAAAAATCATGATAATAAAAAAATGTTATTTATTATTTACAATTTATTTTTAGATTATTACCACATTCAATAATATCATCAAATGATGAAGTTGCACTTTTTGTTGGTGATCTCCAAAGAGGAAGAAGAAGAGACTATGAACCAACAATAGAATATTATGAAAATTTATTACGCAAACATGGTTGTACAAAAATAAAAAGTATAATACCAATGAATCAAGTGAAAACTGAATATGATCAATATGAATTAAAAAGAAAACTTGTTGGCACCTACGATTATTTTCTTGTAGATGGAAAAATAGCTGGTCATTTATCTCATTTATTGGGAAAAGAATTTTATAAAAAAAGAAAATTGCCAACATCTATTAGAATGTTGAGTAAAGATTTAAAACATGAAATAGAATATGCTTTAAGGAAAACTGTCATGCAAATTCATTCTTATGGTGATACACATATAGTTCAAGTTGGGCATACTTCTATGAAGAAGAAAGAAATTTTAGAAAATATATTAGCAACATGTCATTATTTATCTAAAAATTATCCAGGAGGTTGGGTTAATATTCGTTCTATTCGTATTAAAACATCTATTAGTCTTGGTCTACTAATATATATGACATTGAGTAAATATTAATTCTATATTTAATTTTAATTATAAAAATGATATTTATATAAATATATTCATATATATTCAATAATATTCAATATTTTTCTTTATATATATTTATATATTTTTCTATATTGTTTTAGAAGATAAATGCTTAGTTGATGTGCCAGTAATGCAACCTAAAAGACCAAAAGCATATCATAATGTATCAGGAGAACTAACTACTGCACCTGGTATTGCTACTGTAACTGTTACTCCTGAAGGAGATATTACTGTTAAAAAAATTAAAAAGAGAATCTTTCTTCAAAAGAAAAATTTACAAAATAAATAAAATTCAACAAATAAAAAAATTGATTATTTTTATATTACTTTATTAAATCTAGTAAACAAAGTTAAAAAATTATTATTCTACTTATTATTATCTTAAACATTTGTTCTATTTAAAATTTGTAATTATTGCACTTGAAATTTTATATATTTAATAATATGTATTTTAATTAAATATTTTTTTATATCTACTTATATGAAAAAAAACAAAAACATTCTACTTGTAATACTAATAATTAATATAAAATAGTCTGATCTTTTTTAGAAATACTTTGATAACCATTTGCTGGCATTGTTGGAATGTTATTTGAAATACCATTTGTATTTTGAATATATTTATATGTGTTTACAGCATTTGTGACGACTTCTATTTCTTGAAAATTCTGAAGTCTTTGAATATCTTCATCTTTTCTCAACCTAGTATTGGGCAGTTTTCTTAATTTTACAATTTGATTAGGTTCAATATTCAATTCTTGACAGCATATACGAATTAATGTTTGGTATGATAAATCATTTTGTGGTAATTCTATTTCTATGAAATCTGGATCAGGAGCATCGGCTACACGAATTTTTAATACCAATTCTAAAATAAAAAATGTAAATTATATATATATATATATTTTTAATTATATATAATGTATGTTATTTATTTATATGTTTTATTTTGTTGTTTTAATAATATTATATATAAAAATCAAAATAATAAATAACAAAATATAAATTTCTTACCATCTTGATATAAACCATTATTTCTTATTTTAGAAATTCCTGAATCTATAGTTCCATGTACATAATCATTTTTAATATATTTGGGTATTATGTTATGAACTGCTGGTTCACTTAAAATTCTTTGAGAATCAGTTGGCATATCTAAAAGCTGTAAAATTTGTGGATTGGTACATAAAAATGCTGGTGTTTCTCCAATTTCAGATCTTATATTCTTATCTGCACCATTTTTTAACAATAAAGCAGCTACATCTAAGTAGCCTTTTTTACATGCCCAATGTAAAGGAGTCCTTAAAGGAGAAATACTAATTATGTTATTGTTTTGACATTTTAAATAAAAACACATTATATGTTTTTACTATCATCATATATTTTATATATTATCTACTTAAAAAACATATGTAAAAGCATACGTAATTTATATTCAAAAACATATGTAAAAACTTTATATAATAAATTATGAAAATAAAATACCATCCATTAACAGAATGTCGTGTATTAACATCAACACCTAAATTAAGTAATTCTTGAACAACATCAGTATCACCAACACAAGCTGCTTTTCTTAATCGTTCTTCCAATATTCTTTTATTTTCCATATTATCATAACTCATAAATAAGTCTACAAGTTTCACATTTTTTTCCATTTCGAGTTTTTCTAGGACATTTTGAAAGTACAAAGAATAGCATTACTTGAATGATGATAGGTCTTTGAGGGATTCAAACTCGATTGCTATCTAAGCGCCGCAGGTGGTAATTTAGAAGAATCTTAATAATCGTAATAGATATATAATCAGATATATTTTTAAATTTTAAAATTATTTCAAGATTAAAATTTTTTCAGGATTAAAAAATTAAATATTGATTTAATTTTCAATTTTTTGTTAAATAGAATAATACAATGTTTATTGTTATAAATAATTTAAATTTGTTTGGACTAATTAAGAATATTTTTTAATTATGTTTTAATTATGTAATATTTGATATAGTAATAATAATAATTAAGATTTAATATAGTTTTAATATAAATTAAAATATTTATCACAATAATGTATGGAATGTAATGGAAATTAATTCCAGTTGAACTTTACGCCACCTGGAAACAGATATTGTCACAATAATTATATCCACTAGCTAAATTTTACCTAGCCTATCGCCATTTTAGAATAAAAATTTGTTTTAAGAGCAATTGACATTTGTTAGCTTCGTTGTTATTTATATTATTAATTCTTCGATATAGTTGTATTTGAGATAATAAATTGAAAAATGGGCGAAGATTATAATGGAGGTAAGTATTTTAAAGGTATTTTTAGAGATCTTTGTTAAATATACTGTGCTTTTTGCCACTGTTCCCGCGTTACAGCCAGGTAAATAAGTCGGGTGGATGATTGTAATGGCCGGAGAAACATTCACGAGAATAGTAAACATATCTTGAAGCGTGCTCTTTTAATAACTCTGAGAAAATCTTAAACCATCAAACATTTAATTAATTTTAACGAATAAGATAACATTTGAATATTTTTTGCAAGATCTTGTGAATTTATCGATAACCTGAAAATAAGCATCTACGAAGATTATTCTTATGGGTACATTTTTCATTATATTTATAGAAAATAATATATCATTTTAATAAGTTTGCACTATCTTATTGATTTTGATTATTTATTTCTTTAGGAAAATGTTCATGATTTTTGAGATTGTAATTTTGATTTTTTAGATTTAAATAACAGATATATATATAGTATATATATAGTATATATATATATATATATATTATATATTGTTACATTATTATGTGTGTGATATATATGTATATGTTATAAATAAATTATATAGATAATAATTAGGAGTTATTCATATATATGCATAAAATTATAAGATTTAATATTTAAGATTATATATATTAAAATTAATTTTTTAAATAAAATAATTTTATTAAAAAATGTATTGCAAACTATTAAAACATTTACAAATCATAAACTTTCATTAAAAGTATAGTATAGTTTTTTTATTTATATTAAATATATAATATAAATTTTTATGTATTTTTTATGTAATTTTTGTATATTTCTATAGATCGAGACCGTCAAGATCGTGAAAAGGATAGGGATAGGGACAGAGATCGTGATAGAAGACACAGATCTCGTAGTAGAGATCGTAGAAAACGTTCTCGTTCGCGTTCCAAAGATCGAAGAGATAGAAAAAGAAGTA